ATTGAAACAGCGTGATATGCACCGCTTCCAGAGCTGTGTATGGCACTGACCCATTCTGATCCCCTTCCGGGATCCCAGCCCAGCCAGGACCTGCTGCTGAGGGTGAACGCAGAGGCTTTGCAGGAGAGGCGGAGAGAATCTCTGGGCTTTTTCACATCCCCTCCGGACTCCACCAGCTGCACCTCCATCCGGGCACCTACAAATCAAGACACGTTAAGAATCAGGAGATTCTCTGAGAAGAAATCTCAGGAGTCTCCGCTATTTTGGGGGAGAAAATCACCTCTGAGCGCTGCGAGAGTGTGGAGGAAATGGAGCCAAAGTCTCATTCTCTGCCTAGGTCGGGGCTTCTTGGAGGATTAACTCTTTCACTGTCCGGAACCACAAGGCTCTGGCTTCCCAATGCGCGAGCTGCAGGGTCTGGGGAATGTCAGGGTTTAAGCAGGGAGCTGAGTAACTTTATCTACATATCCTGCTGTTAGTGAGGGGCTGAGAAACCCAGCCCCTGATCAACTTGAAATCCCGAGGTCGGAGCTCAGACAGGACAGTGACACATCCAGAGAGTCTGGCAAATGCTGTATGTGTCCTTAATACACTGCCTCATACTTGCTTAGAGAGTCAACATTGTCCTTAACACAGAACTTGGGGGACATTATCATGGTTAGGACAAATTTCTTTACTCTGCACATAGGCCAAGATTTAAAAAAATAACTATTTTAATTTTGTCGAACTGTGTTCGATTTTTTTGAGAAGGGGCTTGAGTTTCAGAGTTTGGGTACTCAGCATCTTCTGACTAGAAATTCCCGTGTAAGAATTCCAAGCAGGGCACCCAAAATTTGAAAGATTTAAAACCACTCAGGGAAATACTACCTCTTTCAAGATGAGAGAAGACAGACAAAGAGAAAACATTGTTTATGTTTACAGTATTGAATTGGAAGGTTTTCTGGAGCCCATTTTCAAAGGCACGAAGGGCAGTTCCACAGGCAGGTCCCATTGATCCTGAATGTTATTTGGGCACCTAACTTGTGTGTGCCCCTTTCACAATCTTCCCTTGCTCCTCTCAAGTCAGGAGGGAAGGTGAATAACGCTGGTGTCTAGTTCAGGTCTGTCCTATAGGCCAGGGGACAGTTGGAACAATGACCTTGGCGTTCTGTGTTGCTAGGGCTGCTGGGGATGAATAATGCACATGCTGCGGCATGTTTCTTTTGCTGTGGAGCATTCACCGGTAGTGTAGATTTGGTGTGACAGGTCACCTGATTACATGGGTTTCTCCCCCTATTCTATACATTATTTGAAGTCGACTCTAGTAATCAAACTGCCCCTTGTCTTACTGTGTAGGAGGTGAGCAAGGCGCTAAGGGTGCATCAGTTTAGGCTGACATCCTACCCACGTTGCAGAGTTAAATTGGACCACAATCTGCAGAGCAGCGGAGAATCAGGATGGTTCCTCGCTAACCAGATGTGTGGGATGGAGGCGGAGTTCCTCTACATGAACTGTGCCTTGTGTCTGGAGGGGCCATTACAACTGGGGTCACCCAGCTCACGTCCAAAAATGGATCTCGGTAAATCTTATGTTTATTATGAAATAGTTTCTGTGAGGCTGAATGTGGGACATGGAGCCAGGGACGGGAGCAATTTAGGGGAAATGCTGTAAAAACAGAGGAGTCTGCCCCTGGAAAGAAGGCAGCATTAGAGCTGTGAAATATTAAAATCCCACTTCACGCTGATGTAGGGCTGTTACGGAGTGTGGGGGGACACAAGGCCCTGCACCCCCGGCTTCCTGCGATTCACCATGACTCTCAGCCAGACAGTAAAGCAGAAGGTTTATTTAGATGACAGGAACACAGTCCAAGACAGGTCTTGCAGGCACAGACAACAGGACCCCCCCCCATTAGGTCCCAGGGGCACCACAGCCCCATTGGGCAGTCAGACCCCCGTCTGGGCTCCCCTCCATTCCACCAGCCAGGTCCTGAAACTCTCCCTCTCCCCATCATCTCCTCCCCCAGCCTTTGTTCAGTTTCCCGGGCAAAGGTGTCACCTGGCCTCTAACCTCTTCCTGGGTTCTCAGGTTACATGCTCAGGTATCCTCCCTCAAGGCCAGTCTCCCATCCCCCCATGCAGACCATACTAGCCAAACTCCCCTGCCTTCCCAGCCAACACTCCCCACTCAGCATTCAAAGACCACATTAAGAACAGTTCCAGTTCATCACAAGGGCTCACTCAGTGCATAGGCCCTTATTCTGGGACCTCTTCACAAGGGTTCATTTCACCCCCAGGGAATTACGAGTGGGTTGAGGGGGAATAGATTTAGCCGGCTCAGCATGTTGCAGACATAGAGCCAGAGTGACATATTGGCTGTTTGCTCTGATCATTGTGCTCTTCGGTGAGTGATACCAATTTTCTCAGCCACTGAACAGAACATCTGGCATCTATTCCTGGCTCTAATATGATAGTTGGGTAATGCAGTCTGCAGTAGGTACCGGTATAAAGACTCCTTTTGTATCTTCCCAGCCAAGGGAGCGAAGAATAATCTACAAAAACAACAAGGAGTCTGGTGGCACCTTAAAGACTAACAGATTTATTTGGGCATAAGCTTTCGTGAGTAAAAACCTCACTTCTTCGGATGCATAGAGTGAAAGTTACAGTGCAGGCATTATATACTGACACCCTTGTTGTTGTTTTTGTAGATACAGACTAACACGGCTACCTCCTGATACTTGACACCATGCAAGAATAATCTAGTTGCTACACAGTGAATATTCCTGGCATTTTCCCTCTCATTTCTTGGCAGAATGATAGACGATTCGTAGATCAGGACCCTGGGAGTCAGGACTCCTGGGTTCCCTTCTGAGTCTTTCAAGGTCTAATTATCTGTTTGACTCTGGATGAGGCGGCGCTAAATTCACAAGTGCTTGTAACTTGCCATGGAATCTGTACGAAGCGAATGACCAAGCAGGAAGGATGCTGTGTCGGCAGCTGCTTCTGTCTGTGACTCACTCCAGAGTCCAGAAGGCTGGTTCCCCGCAAGGTTAATGTTAGTGCGGGCTCTGATAGGTTTCCCCTCACTGTGTGTATTTGGCACAGTAATACACGGAGGTGTCTCTGGGTTGCAGGCCGGTCAGTTGCAGGAACACTTGGCTTTTGGAGGTGTCTCTGGTGATGGGGAGGCAATTTTTGAGAGCATCATTATAGTTATTGCTTCCATCACCCCAGATAACTCCCATCCATTCCAGCCCCTTCCCCGCTGGCTGGCGGGCCCAGTGCACCCCGTAGCTAGTGAGAGAGAATCCGGACACGGTGCCGGGCAGTCTGAGGGTCTCTCCGGGCTTTTGGACTCCCCCACCGGACTCCACCAGGCTGACCTGGGAATAGACATCTGCAGAGGGGGAAATAAAGGGAAAATATTGCTGACGTGCAGTTATTAGGGAACATGCGGTACCGGGCGCCCAGCGGCAGCACAGATCCCACCCGTACCCGCTGGGAGCAGCAGGAGAAAGGCGATGGCCAGGCTGGGGGTCATGTCTGCGGCTGGCGGCTCGTTCCCCAGGCGGGATGGGAAGCGGAAGCCCGGCGCTGGCTCTGAGCAGGGTGAGCGGCCTGCGGCTGGGCTATGAACAGGGCCCCGGGGAGCTCATTTGCATGGTCCAGGAGGTGGGGACAATATAAGGGGTGGGGACCTAGGAGGTGTGTGATGCAGCATCGCGTTGTTAAGTCTAATAGAGGTGGGTTGGGAGTCCAACCTCAATAGAGAAACTTCCCATAAGCTTTATATAGTTGTCCTCATTACACTGATAACACAATTAAATGGCCACAGTTGTATAATCTATTGGTCTATCTATCTCTCAGCTCCACCCCATTTCTGATGTTGGTGTCAATGTTATAACCTAGGGGCCAGGTACATCACTGAACCATTCCTTGTTCATGAGAATCTGGAAAATTAGGACAGAGACAAACTGTACAGAAATGCTTTGGGAAAATTTGTGTTGGGGGCTGTATGGTTAGAAAGGGTTTTGGAGTCAAATTGCTTAGTCTGAGGAGGGTCAGTCCTGGGCCGTATCTAATTCAGTGGGAGCTGCGTTCTGTGACCCTAGTGCCCCCCAATCCTCCACCAACGGGCCTCCGCTTCTCCCTCAGCAGCCGCCTCTCCCTGAGCTACCCCATTAAATCCCTTCGTGTTCCTGTCTGCAGCCCTTAGTCACGTGACTATCTCCAATGCCCCGAGTGCCAGCGCTGGGCTGAGTGATGTCATCATGGGCTGGGGGGCGGGGTCTGTTATCTCCATGGTGACTCTGTGACATTGTGTAACTTTATTGTGGGTTGGGATGTCTCAGCTCCACCCATTGACACCAGCGGAGAGGCCGGGCTGCGATTTCCACGTCAGTTGGGTGAAAACAATCCACGAGCCGCATTGGAAAGTCTCGGCAGTGCCACGGTGAGGGGCCCCGCATCAGTTATAATGAACTAATCACCTTCCACTGCATTAATGCATAAACATCCCAGTTTGCTGAAAGGGCCAGAGCCTCCCTGGTGTAAATCAGGAGTAACTCGAGTCTAGCGGAAGCAGTTGCGGTGACTTTACACTAGCGGAGGATTTGGCCCCAGGAACAATTCGCTCCATCCGTTGGGTCTGATGCAAACCCCAATGCGCTTGTCCCCTTTACACTGACAGACGCTGTCCTGTGAGTCTGACACAGAGACGGGCCCGGGAGAGCCAACGTGCCAGGTCTCCGAGGGGAGAGCGACTCAGAACAGGACTCACTCCCGATATGCGTTCAGAGATGAAGCGAGGGATCTCTGCACCCAGCGGGGCTCTGGGCAGGACTGGGAGACACATTGCCCGGGAACAGAAGGGTTAAAACTGAGGGGAGGTTTGTGTTACATTCACTCGCTTGCTGGGTCTTCTGCCTGAGCCCGGAGCGGTGTGTGTGTCACTGCTGCCCCCGCGCGGCTGCCGGGAGAAGGGCGATTCCGCAGCCTGGGTTTTTGTATGATCACAAACCGGTTTCATTTCACTGTGTCTCTCGCACAGTAATAGCGGGCGGTGTCCTCGGGCTTGAGGCCAGTCATTTGCAAGTAGATCAGCTTCTTGGAGCTGTCTGTGGAGGTGGTGAATCGCCCTTTCACGGAATTTCCATAATGCGTAGTTGCTCCATTAATTGCTGATACCCACTCCAGCCCCTGCCCGGGAGCCTGCCGGACCCAGCTCATCCAGGCGCTGTCTATGTTGAACCCTGAGGTGGTACAGGTCAGTCTGAGGGAGTCTCCGGGCTTTTTCACATCCCCGCCGGACTCCAGCAGCTGGACTTGTGACAGGACGCCTGGGAATAAAAGGGTATTAAAATCATGTCAGTGTGAATTGCCAACAATACATTCCTCTGACTCCCCTACCCCCCCCCCCACCCCCACAGGGGGAGAAAATACCTTTCAAAGCTGCTGCAAGGAAAACGACATGGAGCCAAAGAGGCATTTTCCCGGGTGCTGGAGGGGAAAGGTCTCTGGTGGGTCAGTTGGAAACTGCACAGACCCAGTGGGCTGCAGATTGTCTCAGGGTGCAGACTCGGCACAGAGAGATTTAAACAGGAAACTCTCACCCTTATTTGCATATCTCCCTCCTTATAACAGATAAAACTCCTTCCAGTGAGTCACTGGATGATTGTCCTGTTCTGTTCATTGCCTCTGAAGCGCCTGGCATTGGCCACTGTCGGGAGACAGGATCCTGGGCTAGATGGACCTTTGGTCTTACGCAGTCTGGCTGTTTTAATGTTCTTATGATCTCACATCTTGGTCTGGGGATCCAAGAGTAGGCTCAAGACCCATTCCTAGAGAAAAAAGAGTGGGAAAAGCTTTGAACTCCTCAAGGGTTTAACAGACTCTCACCCTTTGGTGTTGTCCCAGCAACTAAATGGCGTATGCTCTGTCTACAGGCCCAGCCCTGACACCCCTGAAGCGGACACAACTCTCCTCTTCGCAGTCAGGGAAGTGTCTTTAATTGCTGCCCGGGTTTGTCCGCAGGGAATGGAAGGAGCCCCACTCTGCCAGGCTTTCTGCGCTCTCACCTCCCCACATTTACTATGACAGGCAAGAACAGATATCTGAAAGGTGTTTGTTGGTGTCCGGTTCTCAGAAAAGAAAGTTGAGAGCGCTCAGCTCCCTGATTCCCCCCGCCCCACCCCAGACATCCCCTTCTGTGTTTCTTATATTGTTTGTGCAAAGCATGGAGTTCATATTTCCGTTGTGTGGTCAGTGTTCTGTTCTTGCATGCCATGGTTGGGGCGCATCAGCTCGAGAGTAGATCTATCAAAAGGGGAATGAGGACCCCAATTGAACAGCCACCAGACAAGGCCAGCAGCCCTGTGCTCTCTGACCCTAAAGACTCCTGACGCTTCTCTTATGGAGCTGCTGCTTCTCTCTGCAGGATCCCAGTAAGCCCTACCAGACTACTGCCCTGTACCCTTACTAGCCCACTGCCCTAAGCACCAACCTTTGGGAGCTTCCTGTAATTAAGGACTGCAGGTTCAGTCCTTTATCTCCACGGTTACTCTATTAAATTGCTGGAACTGTATTGTGGGCTGGATCTTTAGCTCCACCCTCGGACAGCAGCAGAAACTCTGGACTGTGATTCTCAAATGTGAGGTGGGGTCCTTTAGCCATCAGGCCCCTTTGAAAATCTCAACCCTGCGCCGTATTTCCAGTACCAGCTGAGTGGGGTTTCTTCAGGAACTGGGCGGTCTCTGCAGCACAGGCCCATCGGGACTTGCCACAGAAATGGGTGACAAAGCCCGTGAATTATAGGGTTACAAACTGACGGCAGGCTCTTATTCACCCCTGGGGTTGGAGGGGAAAGTTCTCAGGGGGTTGGCTGGTAACTGCACAGACCCAGGGGGAGGCAGATTGTCTCTCCGGGTGCAGCCTTGGCAGAGAGAGGCACAGATTTAAACAGTGAGCTGGTGGTCCTGTTTGGCTCTCCACCTCCTTATAGGAGACACAAATTATGTTGTGATTTATTATTTCTGATCAGTTGGCGAGAGCAAATGGACAAATGCCCAGTTTACCAAAAAAGTCCAGTGTGACCCCTAGCAGGGTGTGGAGGGACATGTGTGGGGGGTGGTGATGCGAGGTGTCACACACCCAGCCTCCTTCTCTCCCTGACTCCTGCACCCCCACACACATTCCCACCTGCACCCCTTGCACCAAATGGGAGCTGCCCCAGGTAAGCGCTCCACATCCCAACCTCCTGCCTCAACCCTGAGTCCCCTCCTGCATCCTAAGTCCTGTCCAGACCCTGCATCCCAACCCCCAGCCTGCTCCTGCACCCTAACTCCCTCTCAGACCCCACACCCCAATGTTTTTGTTTACATTTTTTTACATTTTTTGGATAAAGCCTAAGTTCCCAGATGTATTTTCTTCTTTTTTATTAATAAAATTTACCTTTTAAAGAACAAAATTGGATCTTTGTGTCCTAAGAGGTTTGTGCAGGTTGTTTAATTAGCTGGTGGCAACAGCTGATTTCCTTTGTTTTTCTTTCTCAGCTCTTCCCCGGAGGGCGGGTGAAGGGGCTGGAGGGTACCCACAGGAAGGAATGCCCAAGTGAGCCTTTCTGGGTTCTCAAAAGAGGGATTTTGCACTTGGGTGGTGGCAGCATCTACCCATCCAAGGTCAGAGAAAAGCTGTGACCTTGGGAGTTTAATACAAGCCTGGAGTGGCCAGTATTAATTTTTAGAACCCTTGTGGGTCCCACCTTCTGCCAGGGCGGCCCAGAGGATTCAGGGGGCCTGGGGCAAAGCGGGGGAGTGGACATACTCACCGGGCGGCGCTCCGAGTCTGCGGCGGCGGGTCCTCCAGTCACTCTGCGTCTTCGGCAGCACTGAAGGACCCACCGCCAAAATGCCGCCGAAGACCGGGACCACCGCTGGGTAAGTAAAAAGGCGCCTCTAGCCAGGAAAGGGATTCTCGGCCAGGGCTTGCCCCACTTGGCCCCTCCCCGGGCGGCCCTGCCTTCTGCACTGGAAGTGCCAAGGAAATCAGCCTTGACAGAGCCCATGTGTCCTAAGACTAGCCCAATCAGTTAGTCACTGCACTGCCCAAAAAATAAACTAGCAATGCAGCCATCTCAGTGGACAGTACTGCTTCCCTGGATCAGGCTGGCTTGTCCCTAAGGAGTGAAGTGCATGGGACCAGCCAACGCTGATTATTAAGGAGCCAATCCTGGGCAAGATGAGGTGATTGCCCTAAAAAGAACAGCAGGGGCTGCAGTGAAGGGGGAATGCTCAGTGCTCATCCAGCAGAAAGTCCTGGGGGTTAGGACTGAGACTGCAGGGCTGTGGAGCGGGCTGCTAAAGAAGGAAAGGCTCCAGGCAGAAAGGCCTCAGAGAAACAAGATTAATCTTTGTTCTGTGTGGCCTTTTGGATGGACTTTGGTTTGGGATTTTGATTATTATTTGGAGTTTATATTATAGTAATAAACCGAGTCCAAAAGGAGCAATATATTGACTCCAAAGTCCCTGGGTGAAATTGTATCTGCTCAATCCAGGGGAAACTGAGGCAGGCTGCCTGCAGTGTGGCCCTCGACCACTAGGGAGCTCATGCAGCAGTTGGCTCTTTTACACTCCAATAAGATAATGTACTCTAAAATAGCGTGGGGGTTTTCTCTTCAGAGTGGCTGGTGTTTTTAAAGCAACCTCAAGGATTCGGGTGACAAAATCCCATTGGAACTTCCTTTGAAAATCCCAAACTAGAGTCACTTGCTCACCTGACAATCCCAGCGCTCCCTCTGCTCTTAGTGATGAATTGGCACCAGGGACAATTGTAGAATTTGGCCCAAACTCTCGAGTTGCAGATGGGGTCAAGTTCAGTCTCGTAGCCAGGGCTTGGTGGCATTGTTTCCAGGCAGGTTCCCCACTCTACCGCGACTGAATCACTGGCTTTAAACCCATGTGTGTGACCTTTTCTTTCCACACACTTAAAAGTGTAACTTATTTGATTTGATTTAAAAAATGGAATCCAAGCAGGGAAGAGAATCATATTATGAAGTGTTGTCTGGTGTTTTGAGTATTATGAGGAATTTATTTTATAATAATAAACCCAGCCCGCAAAGGAAGGGTATTTTGACTCAAAAACTCCCCTGTCCTTGGCGCCCATAGAGCTTGAGAGAGTTCAGGGGCCCTAGACACTAACTGTTCTCTAGTTTATTGACACATGAAATGTTTCCTTTTCACGCCACTCAAGGGGAAAAAACATCCGCTGCCTAGTTGAGTTCTGTTCCCAGATTTGAACATTTTATTGCCTTGCAAACCGTGAGTGGCCCAGACCAGCGAACTCCAATGTCAGGTCATTACAGTGCTGGGTTTTTGTCCTAGTTCCATCACGGTGTGTCTCTGACACAGTAATACAGGGTGGTGTGCTCCATTCGGAGACTGCACATTTCCAAAAGCACCAGGCTGTTGGCGTTGTCTCTGGAGACGGTGAATCTCCCTTGCACGGAATCAGAGTAGTAGGTGCTACCCTGGGCAGCAACTCTGGCCAGCCACTCCAGTCCCTTCCCTGCAGCCTGGCAGATCCAATCCATATGATAACTGCTCAAGGTGAATCCGGAGGCTTTGCAGGAGAGGCGGAGAGAATCTCCGGGCTTTTTCACATCCCCGCCGGACTCCACCAGCTGGACCCGCGACTGGGGACCTGCGAATACATGTTGTAAATACTATTAATATCAATAGCAGCAATGCTGCGCTCTTCCTGCCCCGCTGCAATGCATTTAGCGGGTGAAATTACCTTGCAAAGCTACTCCAGTGAAAACGAAAAATAGCCAAAGTGTCATTTTTGCCTCATGTTGGAAGGAAAAGTTCTCAGGGGACTGGCTGGTCACTGCACAGACCCAGGGGCTGT